CATTAGAAGGCAAGTAAACTTGATGGTATTTTTATGTTATGGATAGGGAATTCGAGATGGGTTCATGCTATGGAATGGTCAGGACAGAGAGAATTTGTGGCAGCTCCCACTACTCCATTTTCAGTCGATGGCGTGGAGGCTGGATTGCAGAAAGGCCATGGACCTCTGATCTTCCTCAGGGTTCATAATGCCGGCCATATGGTTCCGATGGATCAGCCAAAAGCATCACTAGAAATGTTAAAGAGATGGATGCAAGGAAAACTTCCATTGACACCGGCAGATAGTCACCTTGCTCCTATGTGATTTGTACCATATAAGGCCCCAAAAAAACCTTTTAGTTTTGCAATATTTTCATCTATATATCTCATGTACGCAATACATAATTTAAGTCCTTTTTTCCTCCAAAGTTTCGTTTCAATGCTTTTGATTTTCATGTATATTACACTATTAATCTAAGTGGTTTTGCTTTAAATAAATTACACTTATTATGATGTTCACAGTGATTTAAATTCGGATTAATTGAACTATATGTTTAAATATTAATTATTGCAGTATCTACTAGAAATATATGTTATAAATGACTAATGCTAGCCCCCAGGGCACATCTCCAAGTGGTAAAAGGGGAGGGTGGAGAAATCCAGCTTTACTTGAGGCTGCTGCGTCAAGGGTTCGAATCCTGAAATATGGATTTGGCTCTTGGGTAAGTGCAAGTGTACAAGCAGTCTTTCACCCTGTACCCTTGGAAGCATAACCTGCGATTTACCTCTCTCACGATACTCCAGGGCAGGGGTGGTGGAGGACCCTTAAGGTTAGGGTTTAACCTTTTTTTATAAATGACTAATGCTTCATCATATTAATTTGTATTTATTACATATGGATATAGCAAATAATCTTTTTCTGATGATCAGTACCAAATTCAGTGGCATAAAATAAGAACTTGAAGTTAAGTAAAGAATGAAAGAACTTTATTGCACAAAATCTTGGCTGTCCCCGATCTATCTCTTTTGGTATACAACAGTGGATAGTGTACTATGTACTAACATGTCCTTCGACCGTGAATCCCGAACAAGCCAATTATAGAGAATATCTTTCATATGATATTTATCACAGGTATCAAACATCGTATATGTCCGACCTAGTTTGACTTATATCAAGTTGGTACATATACAAGGTGATTTAAAACCATGTGATCATCCCTTTTAAGTGGTAATTTCCATTTTTTCTTTTAGAACTTGACTGCCAACAACTTGCTTCCTTAAGATAAATGAAGAGATCTGATAAGGAAATGACTGCAGTATTAGATAATTGGAAGCGTCCCTACTTCTTATGCAAGAATTACACTTCGAATGGAGTTACGAAAAAAATTTATAACGCCAGGTGTGCTGATTCTCCAAAGATTTTGTGGGAGTCCTTAGATATTGAGAATGCAGGTACAAAATATATATATGGTCCACGAACTTCTGAACTATTAGATATCAAACTATCAGAGTCTTTTGTAAGATGGATCACATCCTATTATTGGTGTGAGTTGATTGGTTTAGAAAATGTGACTTGAATTGTGCTAGTTATGAAGTATTATGGGCCATAGATTAAATTCAATGGTTGGATTTAATCTTGTGGTCAATTACCTATACAAGTGTTGTCACTCTCTTGTTGACTATCGTACAATATTTGAATTTTGAATTCAAATGAATTGGCTCTATAATTATAAGACCTCTTCATTCTCTCATTCTTGGACTTGACATAACATTTGAGAGAGAACATAGAGAGGTAACCAAGTGGGAGCTTTCCATAACTCCGACAAAATTCTTGGTAACTTCCGACGGATCCTTTCTCAGTATATCCATTACCATTCTCGTGGACGACAGTACATGATTTGGCATGGCACAAATCTGAGCTCAACATCAAAGAACACTTCATTGGTGGTGTTGAAGAAGCTTTGTGTCGTTTTGGTTCGATTTTACACTTTGAGAGTTTATTATTCCGCATTGTAATCGTAATAATCTTTTATATACTACACTTTAAACTCTTCACATTTTTTTATAAGGTGTTAAATCACACACAGAAGGTGTTTCTGATGTACCTCATTAATAGATAACTTTTTTCTTTGATTTTCTCAATCTCAAGTATCTTCCAAGGACAATTAAAATGGTGTGTGAGCACCATTCTTGGACTAGATTAGGGCCTGACTAGATGAGAACACAAGCCCAGAGCTTTTATGCTGGTGAGCTGCATCGTCTTTTATTTTGTGCCTTGGTGACCTGGACTCCACATTTTAAATGGAAGCTTGCCATTAACCACGTAGCAATAGTATTACATGGTTAAAGGTGTTCAATTTCACTGGTGTTAAGCACCAATGTAAATGTTCATTCAATATTCTTAAACAATTGAACATTTTAAATGGAAATATATGAGTCATATTTAAGATATTCATCATTTAGTTTATCCAAAATTGATGCTGAATAACGTCATTCATATAGTTCTTTTAGACGCTCAAGATTTCCTCGTCAAATTAGACAATAATTCTATATTGTTGAAACTCTTTGTTAGCTTTGCCAAGACAACATTTTACTATGCATAGTTTACAAAATCATATTTAGCTTATGTTTATTAAGATTTTTCCCAAATTTTAAGTTGGTCAAACTTTATTTTTAACCATATATTTCATTGATTCATAACTTATACACACTTTTTGACTACGAGTTAATTACTCGAATAATCACTGAATTTTGCAAAAAATTTACAGAAGGTCATCAAATTTCAAAACTTGCCCAAATAGTCACTGAACTTTGTTAAAAGTTTCTAAGTAGTCACTCAACTTAGCAAATTGGGACCCCATACATCACTGGTTTAATGACCCCCTAAAAACTTTTTGCAAAATTCAATAACTATTTAGTGATTATTTGGGAAATTAACTCTTTTAACTATACGTTCCATGAGGTCCAGTGATGCATAGTATCAAACAACTTTGTCAAATAAGGGCTTAATAAAATTTTAGGTGAAAAACACATTTCATTTTTGGCTTAAGAAAATATACTTGTTGAAATTAAGTTCGTGTTTGCAAAGATTCTTTAAAATGCATTTTCTTATTAACTCATTGATATTATCACATTTTTACAACAAAATAGTTTTGCAGGGAGATTTGTAACCTTTCTACTTTCTAACCGTGATTCTCCAAAAAATTAAAATGAAAAAATTATTTTATATAAAATCTATTCTATGAAAATGTAACCTTATATAAAATCTATTAAGGGCTGTTCTCTTTGTATTTGAGTTTTGAGTTTCATTTTGAGTTTTGTGTTTTAAGTGTTGCTATTGAAATTGTTGAAAACATGTTCCTTTTGTTGTTTTGCAAAAATGTTTCCCAAAACATAAAACTCGAAAATTTGTTCACTATCCTACCAAACCCCAAGCCTATTTCAATTCCCATCTCCACCACCAAATCCACCCTTCACCCGTCACCATCATGTATCAAATTTTCGATGACGTCGATCACCAAGACCACCGGATATTGGTACCATCGGAAAGCCTTTAACCTCTTCTTCAATTATCAACCAACATCTTCCCATAACTCCACTGAATTTCCCCGGAATCCATCCACAAAGTAGCCTACTCGGAAATTTGAAAATTGTCGGAAACTCCACCTCCGGCCACCAAATTGATTGGAGCCCACCATCGGTCGATTGCTCACCACAAATTGACCCCAACCATAGCCCCAATTTACCACAAACAACAATCGAATTAAACCCAGACATATTGGCCCTCGTGAAGCCCAATTTGCAGAATCCGAATTTTGCAGATTCTGACGTCTTCCGATGGACCCATGGTCGCGGACCACATGCGTTGAACTCTTCTTCACTTGGCGCATCTTGTCCAGCCATGGTTCAACCCCAATTTTGCCCAGAACTTGATGAATTTATGTGCGCACTTTGATGGATTTATGCCCAAAATCGTGACTGGTAGTGGCGGTGTGAGGGGGTTCGATTGTTGAGGAAGAAGCAGCGGTAGTGGTCGATTGTTGAGGAAGAAGAGGCGGCGGTGGTCGATTATTGAGGAAGAAGTGGTGGAGAAATGACTGTTCTTTCATGATTCTCTCACGCACAGTGGAGAAGAAATGAAAAATGCTGGTTTTCGTGTTTTTCATTTTTTACGTGTTTTGTACAGAAAACACCCAAAACAATTTTGGTCGTTTTGTATTTTCTTCACAAAAAAAAATTGTCTTCAAAAACGCGTTTTCGAACATGGAAAAAGAACACGTTTTCATCTTTTTGAAAAATTGCAAACGGAAAACGGCCAGAGAGAACAGCCACCGTTCCTATTTTACTGGGTTATTATACGTCAGGCAAAAGCTCCAATTTAAAGGAAAACAGAAGTATACCTATTTTTCAAATTCCCCAAGTCGCTATGTTCACTGAATCGTTCAGTCGTTACTAGAACAAACGTCAGATGGTCGGCAGGAATCGCCAACTATTGTAAAGGTGGATTTTGATTGAGATTGCCATTGTTAAATTTGGTAGGTACATTTATCGAAGTTTAAAGAAAATACCGTTGTAAAATCTTTTTGTTTTTGTTAATTTCTTTGAAACAACAAAAACCCTTCTCAATTGTAACAACCTGTTTTGTATACATCTGTTATAGGTTTTGTGCTTAGTTTGAGTTTTTCACCCAAACCCCAAAAAATTAAATTTGTCTGGGTTTTCTTCCTTTTTTTTTTTTTTTTTTTTGCTTCATTGGAGGTTTCGATGGTCTACATTTAGTCGAAAGATAAATCTTTATATTATTTGTAAATGGATTTAAAAGGTTTTAAGTTACGAAAATTCGTCAGTTATTTCTGTGTGTTTGTTATGTGATCAGTCGTTTGTTATTGTTTAAGATGATGTCTGCTGTAACATTAATTTGCTTCTTTTTGTCTCTATCATGGCGGCCAAAGATTTCTGAAGGGTGTTGATTTCAATCAGTATACAGCTGTTGAAAGTTGAAATGGAGGCTGACAGGTATATCCTTATTGCATTTTTTGGGACAGCTTATGGTGTTCATTTTCTAACAGTGTTCTTGGTTCTTGAAAAAATTTATTCATGTCCAAAGTTTACAGTTTTCTTAGCTTTTCTTATATCCCGGTAGTTCAACTTTCCAGTTGGCCTTTTTCTCTACCATTGCATTAATTGTTATTAGTTCAAACAAAAATTCCCCTAAATTATGTAATGTTTGTTGAGAATTAGAAACTCTAATTCTATTCCACAGAGAGCAATCCATTAGCTGAAAAAAGACACACAGAGACTACGTCCTCTTCCACGATTGTAGTAATTCAATATGATGAAAAAAACCAAATTTTACAAGGATTCAAATTATTAAACTGCCCTTAATGAAATTTTTGTCTGAGGGCTCCGCCCTTGCACCCTGAGGATGGGGGCTTCTTGTCCCCTTCTAATCCTTATGGTGACCTCACCACGAAGGTCGATCCTCGTGCTGGCATTGCGGAGTAGCAATAATTAGGCTTCATAACTTACAATGTTAACGACTGTATCTTGTAAATATTATCACAATGGAAGAGAAGAAAGGCTTTAGCTTTAAAGGTGCGTAATGATGGGAAGTTGTTTTTCTTTGTATACTACTATAGATAAGTGGTTTCTTTTTTTTAATACTGTTACGATGAACTCAATAGCTTGTGCTTTAGGATGCCAAAGAGCGGAAAGGAAATTAAAGGATAGGTCCCTAGCACTAAAGAAGCTTTCTGCGTTTTGATTACTCATTTAAGTCTTTTCTTGACAAATGAACATCCTCGAAGTGATACACAAGCTTAGCAAACTTTAATAATAATTTGTGGCTTTGCTCCCATGTATTGAGTTCCAAACATCTTCCAAGCATAAAAATTAATACATACACATGATCTAAATGAAAAGAGTAATGTTATTTGCAATCGTTCAGTGTTGTAGTCGCTTTATGTGGCATACATGTGACGGTTAGTGATTTGATACATTAATGTGGTAGTTTTTTATTATCTTATATAACAAATCATTAACCGCCACGTGTATGTCACGTAGGGCAACTGTGGCAGTGAGCGATTGCAAATAACATTATTCAAATGAAAAATAAATTGTTTGTTTAAACTTGGCCCTTAACATGTTATTTTTTACTTTAATGATGTTGTCAAGCGTGGTTTTGACAAGTGTTTTGAGAATGGATGAGTTGTAATCTGAAATCAATTTAGTTTTATGCTAGGGAGATCTACCTGGAAGCTCTTTACATACTCAAGGAGATATATGATAAAATATAGAAAAGCAATCAAGATTATATATGGCCTTTATTGATTCAGGAACCACAAAGATAAGGTACCAGGAGAAGTGGTATGGCTGTTATCAGATGAAAGTTATTTCCACTGTATATATCAAATAATTACTGATATGGATGGTTGAGTACTCAAGTTACTCAAAGCATAAGAATGGCAGGGTGGCAGCTCTAGTAAATAATTTCCTAATCACTATAGGCATGTATCAAGATTCTCCTCAAATTTATATCTTTTCAATTTGTTCGTGGACTAGGTTATAAAACTAACCAAGTATTGACATAGTTTTATTTGATGGGATCAAAAAAGGATATAAATCGTACGTAAGTTAGAGTTTTGAAGGAGTATTTTAGAATTTAAGTACTTTAGGTTAGGTAAACTTAGATGAAAAAAAGGGTCCTTTTTGTAACAGTAAGAGAAGATAATAGTGGACTCACTATGAAAGAATTTTATTTTATTTTTTAATGAGTGTTTTAAGTATTTAGGTTTAATTATTTACTGGGAAAAGGACTTGAGAGGTGAAAAGGTTACAATGTATGAGATTAGAGCACACTGGATGAAATAGGTAAGTATTACATGAATTCCATGTGACAGGAACATACCTATAAGGTTCAAGGGAGGTTCTACAAAATGTCAAGTTTTTTGGCCATTAAAGGCCAAAATACTATAAGAAGAAAGCAACAGAATTGAAGAGTCTAAGATCATATTCGACCATATTAAAATGGATAACGATAACAACTGGAATATGCCATTGCCGACAAGTGGAGCTAGTGCCAATTGAGAAAAATTACGAAATAATAATTTAGGTTGTTGAGCATGTCTTGCATAGATGGAAGACATTTTAGTAGAACATGCTAGAAGAGGGAAGATAGAACAAGGTCAACATGGTCTATTGAGATTGCCAAGGGTTTGAACAAACACAAATCTTCTAGTAGTACTAGTGAGGTTCAAATGGAATGATGAAAAAGTTTTCATTATGCCTACCCCAAACTTGTTGACTGTAATGCTTAGTTTGCATTTCTTTTGTTGTCCACTGTTTGCCTGTACTGGCTTAGAGAATGTGGGGTTGTTTCTCTTCCAATAGGAGTGTGAAATTAGGAGTTACTAATTTCACTTAGCATATTCTTATGGGGATACGCCAATATTATGGCATTAAGGCTATCCATACTAGTAGATGTGAATGATTACCTAACCCTTTCATGTAGAAGGATCATGCTGATAATTTCCCTCAGAATCAGTTCAGTTTTATTTGTATTTTGTCGTCTTCATTTCTATTCATTGTCTTTTCTTTGCTCAAGGGAAAAACCATAGGGGCATGCATTTTGTAACGAAAATCTGAGCTCGCCTGGAGAATATCCTCTCCATGTTTCCTTTTTCAGTTTTACACATGGATTTTTGAGCTTGATTTTGATAACGATGACTAAAAATTTTATTTGATGCCATTCTTCTGCTTATTATCTTTTGTCAATATATCCTGGAAACATGGGGATGGCACTGCTGAGGTCATTCTAGAAGACATCTTAATCTAGTTTGATGAGATTTCTACAATGGCTTCTGTACAAGTTTTCCAGGTCATTGGATGCTCCGACTGGTATCTTTATATATTTTTGTTGTTATTTCTTATGGCAAAAGATATAATAATTTGCAAATATTCTCCTTTGTATCGCCTTTCCTCATTATATGTGTAACTCTCAAATTGAAGTGATATTGGTTATCTACTTATGCGTCTCAATCTTATTATCTCGTTCATACGTTTTTAGTTTCATTGCAGACTAAATTCTCCCAATACATCAGCAGTTCTATTTGAAGTTTTTGGTCATCAGCTTCAGTTTTCACAGGTATTAGGCCTTTTCGATGAGTTTGTGCAAATCTCTATTTCTTTCAGTAAAATACTGTAATGGCAAAGCTTGTTGCAGTTTCTGTGATTCACTATCATATGATTCTTCAAGTTTTTTGGAAGTTCCATAATGTTAGACATTCCACCGAGCCAATATTTTGTTACAGAGAATTCCAGCTGTTAACACATAATAAAATTCCTGATGCTTATAATCTCTTGGAAAAGGCATTACTCTTTTAGTTTTTTTTTAAAAATTATTTTCTATTCTGGGTTCTTGAGAAGGTACTTCTGAATATTCTGGTTCAGGGGATTTCATTTGCTAATAAATATAGGCATCGCAAATCGATAATCAGTGTCATATATCTTAAATTTTCCTTTCCAAAAGATTATTAAAACCTAGAGAAGTTCTTTTGTCCTTGAGCCATTACAATGACTAAGCTACGTGATAGCTGCATATAAATTTGCTGCTACTTAGTGTCTCCTTAGTCATTTTATTATATTTTGAAATATTGAAACCTCTTTGTGTGAATTCTTTTCTGCTTTCTTAACGTCGGAGTTAAAAATATTGTTTTTCCCATTTCTTATTTGTGTTTCCATTCCCATGACTAGTTTGTGGCAATTGTGTCAGGTTTTTCCTGAATTATTTATTAAGATGGGGAAAAAAAAAAGTGAAAATTATTTGATATGATAATACTCTATTGTACTTCCATTTTTTATTTATTTTTTTGACCCTGTCTCTTAGCCTCATTCACAGCGACAGTTTGCTGTGTGATTGTGACAGGATCCCAATTCTAAGCATTTAGGAACTACCGTTTGGGATGCATCAATGGTGTTCGTCAAATTTCTGGTAACAAATATCGCTCTACAGTAAGAAAAAGATCATTATATTCATTGATTAAATTGTTCTTTTCATAAGCTGATATCTGATGAAATATATTGATGAATTTCTTTCCCTGAGAGTAATTCCCAATGTACTCCCCTAGCTTGTAGATTTGGTAGTCCCCAGCCTTGTGATTTTCTCTCTCTAATACACTGATATCAATCTACTGCTATATGAATGTCATGTTTTAGTTGTACGGCCTTTAGTTTATCTTGGTCTTATCTTTCTTTATATTAAACACTGTTAGACTTATCAACACTTCAGCTTTTGGCATGTGGTCTGTTTGTCAACACCTGATTTAACTAAAGATTCAGAACTATTTTGCATTAATTGGTGTAGGAGAAAAATTGTAGAAAGGGAAAGTTTTCTCCATCTAAACTGAAAGGAAAACGTGTGATTGAACTTGGAGCAGGCTGTGGTGTAGCTGGATTTGGTGAGTTTCTTTTACTGCTGAACTTCAGTATGAACACTTGTTACAGGTTTTCTAAGCATGTTTGGGATTTGTTTATTAACGGTTTAAATTATAAATTGATAGAAATGATTGGTGAATAAGTGTATGGTACTTGTGCGTCTCATGAAGTGTGTAGATAAAAATTGTTTTGCTCAATTATAAACACCGTCCACGATCAAGAGGTTAAGTTAGTGATACTCCTTTTGTTTGGTATATTTAATCCAATGAATTTAAGAAGTCAAAATCATGTCATGGAACTGGTTAAAAACTTCACCAATGATAACTAGTACAAACTTAGGTAGGTCAATTGTCACCTATCCATCGTCTTCTCTCCAGTGAAGTGATTAGTTCCTAATATTGGCACGCAATCCCTATGAAAAGCAAGTATTCCAATTGGAGGCATTTATAAACGGTAGCCAAACAAGGATTATGTTTGTATGTTGTTTATAAATGATTACATTAGAAATATATAGAAATGAGTGATAAATAAGTGGGTAATATTTGTGGATCCACAAAATATGTGGATAAAAACTGATTTGATCGATTATAAACAATTAATAAATAGTAGCCAAACATGGGCTAATCTGACAGAGACTGCATTCTTCAGGAATGGCATTTCTTGGTTGTGATGTAATTTCAACAGACCAAACTGAGGTTTTGCCTTTGTTGATGAGCAACGCTGAACGCAATAGTTCAAGGATACTGCAAATGAATCCTGGTTCAGGTGTGCTTCTCAATTTATCTTTAAATTTTTATTTTTTTGCCTATTTGATTGTCTTTCTGTTTTCTTCTGTAAACTTTCCACACATGAAAGATTCTTACTCTTTGATTCTAACAACGACATGACATGTAATCTGGAGTGTGAGATAATTGTAATGGCTCTGTCCACCAGAACTTGTGTATTAAGTTAAAGATAAAAATTGTTGGTTGACATTACTGGGTCCTCGTATTAAAATTTTATCCCTTGTAGACTCCTTTGGCTCCATCCAGGTGGCAGAGCTGAACTGGGGTAATGCAGATCATATTAGGGCTGTTGTTCCTCCATTTGACTACATTATTGGCACCGATATTGTAAGTTGTATGCAATAGTGTTTTATACCATTATGTTCACTATTTCCCTTTTGTTTTGAACTCTACTGTGAGCGGGTCCTGTGGGAGTGGGAACAAAATGCACAGGAATAGTGCTTCATTCTTATGAACTCTGCCTGAATGTTCGAATTTCACCAATTTTGGAATTTATCCCATGGACATAAAACGCCAGCATAAGTTTACTTGTTTAGACAGTTTTTCCTCAGTAAACACCGAATAATTATAGAAGGTCATCTCCAATGCATCCCCCAAAACACCAAAATGCACCATTTTTTGGTGCAAAACAACTCCAATGCAATACTATACTTTGCACTATTTTGGTACAAAGTGTCCAAAGTCATTTTTACTTTTTCTTTTCATTTCCCAAATAAATTGATTAAGGGTATTTGTGTAATATGTGCTATATATTTTTTAATATAATAAATTATTATTATTATTTGCATTTAAATTAAATTTTAAATGTAAAAAATAATGAATTAATTAAAAGAAGAAAAAAAATTTAAAATATAACAAACACGATTATTTCTTAAAGTTAACACGAAATATATTAAAATAATTAAATAAATAATGAATTTTTATATTTATTAATGAATTTAATTTTTCCTTAATTTAACGTAATTATTTATTTAGTAATATATTTATTTATGAAATAATTAAATAAATAATATTTCAAATAAATAAATTATTAAGAAAAAAGAGAAGAAAATGGTTAAACACTATTCATTCGGTGTAAGTTTTAATGTGATGGTTAGAGATGAATTTTAGTTTGGTGCAAAATGGTGCAAATTTTGATGCAACATTGGAGATGGCCTAAGGTTTCATAATTTTTCTGCTTTTTGTGTAACTAGGTTTACTCGGAGCATCTTTTGGAACCATTGTTGCAGACTATACTTTCGTTATCTGGACCGAAAACCACAATCTTGGTATTGTACTTCAGAAACTTTTGAAAATTGTATATTTTTTAACTTTGAATTGAAATTGATAATCTAGTTTATACCTTGTTGCTGAATTTTATTTTGCAGTTGGGTTACGAAATTCGTTCCACAAATGTCCACGAACAAATGCTAGAATTATGGAAAAGATATTTTGAGGTTAAAATTGTTCCAAGAGCAAAGGTACCTGTCTTTTAGATATACATCTATTTGCAAAGTTCACTTGAAACTTTGTGTTTCTTGCGGTTGGTGACTAATAAACATACAAACTAGTCGGCCGTACGGTCACTTGAGAAGATAGTACGATCAAGTAGTGTATGTAATTACATTGTTCTTGCCGGACGCTAATTCTATTTTTCTTTTTCATCTTGGATTCTCTGTTTGAACCTCACCTGCTGTTCGGTCATAAATCATTTAAAATGTCTTATATGAACAAATTTATACAACAATCAAAGTAAGCATTTGTCAATTCCATGAGAAAGCGGTTTTTCTGATTTTGAAAATGATTTTTGTTATCCTTGTAGATGCACAATGAATACCAACATCCAAGTATACAATTGTACATAATGAGCCATAAATCTTCAGACAACATTGGCAAAGGGCTTGACTGCCATATCGAAGGAGTTGAAATTAAAGAATTCAAATGTAAACTGGAGGAAGATGATGACGATAATACTTCTGTTGTTAATGCAGTTGAGGATTGTCAAGGTGATCTTGTTAAGGAAGGGAGCAAGTCAGCTGCAAATCCCCAGAGTGAAAAGCTTAGCGAGTGGGAGGCAAGAAGATATGGGGCCATGGCTGCTCGCCTTCTTCGCGATGTAAAGATAACCTAGATATACTAGGTTTTTATACCCGTTATAACTATGCTAGTAGGGTTAAAATTTTGCTTAATGGACATACAAAGACTATATCTCACTCTGCTATTTACTAGCAATTAAGGCAACTACATGTTCTCAATATGGAAGAAAAGCTTGCATTGTGCTTAATGTAGAATTTGGACACATTCTAAACTATGGTGTTGTAGCTCTAATATCTTTGAATTCGAGTAAATTCAGCACATGAACTATGTGCCGAACATGTTAGTATATTCAGTACTTAAAAAGTGTCTTGACTGATTTATCATGATCAGTCATTCAAAAGATCCTTTATTGAACTCGCTATCACACGAGGGTCTTTCATAAGACAATTGTGAGGGAAGGCTAAACGAAAGCCATTGAAATCTCAAGTGAAACATTGTCCGAATGAAAAGAGAAGACAGACTATTTTGATATCTAGTACGATTTGATCAGCAGGTTTAGAAAGAGGAAAAACGGGGGGAATTATGGTACATACTTTGCTGAAGAAGTTTGCCATCCTTGGAGATAGATGCAGAGCTGGAGTTAGAGACATGTCCCAGAATAGAAAAGGGATCCTCGTATATTCCCAAATAAGAAATAAGAGGATCTGCTCGACACTTGTCAATGACAACCCTTAACTTACTGGATTCAACTTTCCCAAATCTTAACAGCCTTTTATATCCCACTGTGGTACCATTTACGACCTCTTCCCAATCACCTTCTAAGTTCAAGAAGTCGACATGGAATTCTATAATCCGCTGACCCATGTGGATGGGCTCTTGCACTAGCAATACATTAAAACTCACAACCTCTTCAAAGTCTAAATTTAACACCCACTTTGATTGTGCCTTACTAGGAGCCCAGTACAGATAGATACCTTCCTCAAGAACATTGTCAGGACCATAACGGGAATTATTTGGACCATCCCTTACACTGCTTGCAGAGATAAGAGCACCTTTTGCTAGATTGTTGGAAAATATGGATTTCCGAATCTCTGAAAATTCCTCAAGGACTCGTATGTCTTCATGTGATATAAGACCTGAAGAATTTGGAGGTACATTTAATAACAAAAGACAGTTTCTTCCGACTGATTTGTAGTACAGATCAAGCAAAGTAATTGCAGATTTTGGTACTTGCGACGCATGCCAAAACCATCCAGGTCGGATGGAAACATCACACTCTGCAGGTACCCAGTCGTGGCCAAGAGGATCTCCTTCTCCAGAGTATCTGTCACATGTATATATTGAAAACAATTATTACTATGCAGGTCTACACTAGCAATGGAACATATTGGCATAAGGAAGATGCTTTCTCATTTTATTATGAAAACATTAGGACTTTTGGCTGTCTCCTACTCTAAGTAGTATGATTGAAGTTGATTGATGTTTAGCGCTCCAAATATGCCATTAAAAAGTAAAAACCCAACCCTTTTTCGTGAGGTAGACATTGGGCAGCTTAGCCAAAAATTAACCATATTCACATATTCTAAATCAAAAGTTAAGTAGAAATAGCAAAATAAATAATAGAGAAACCCATTCCAAATTCGCGATAAGAAATAATACAAAAGAACAAAATTTATGTAAAGATGAGATAGAGTAGTAGTCTACAGAAAGCCAGATTCCAGACTCAAAATTAATATACATGGTCTTGTTGACATGCATGAATCCAAAAATATTGAAGGGGGAATATTTTCACAATAATGCAAGTAAAAGATAGCACTGAAATAGAGTAACAGAAGAGGACTCACTTAGGATTAGTATCCCCAATCTTAATAGCACTTCGATTGAAAAGAGACCAGCATGTGGTCCCAGCAACACCAGATTCATCTCCAACCCACCTTGTGTCTGGACCATCATCGGAAAAAATGACTGCCCCAGGCTGAAGCTGATGAATGAGGCTAAACCAATCATCAAAAAAATATTCCATATCCTTCTCTTTCTCACCTTTAGCACCATCCAACCAAACTTCTCTTATTTCACCATATCTGCTCCAATTCAAGTGAGAAAACAATGTTAGTAATTTATAATGAAATGAGATTCAACATTTTACTGATAAGGTCAACGAGATTCAATGTGAGATATATTAAATTAGAGGAAGTAAGAAACTGAAAAACAGGATGCAATAGACATGACAGCCAATATGGCACAGTCCATGTAGAAACTTCCCGAAATTATCACTGATTTTTTTGACAGCCTCTACTGTTGACTGAGCTAATATATGTATATAGCTTTAGTTTTCTCGATTCTCTGTAGGCTGAAGTGGATCTTTCCTTTCATGTTTCTATATACTCCCTGACCACCTAGTTCAAAGTAAGAAATGTTCACTAACCACATAGTGTTAGATCCGTGAAGATCAGGTTTTTTCTTTTACCATTTGCCAATATTTGAATCATATAGCTACAGCCTTAATCACCGGTACCTCTGAGTGTCTGACCTTAATTATCAAACGAAATTTTTTTCTGCTCTTGCTCGAAGAAACTCCTTTATTCAGAGATTTATGAATTATCAGTGCTGAGGTATTTGAAGTAACATCTAAATCTGTCAGATGTGTTCAAACTCAACGGAGGAAATTATTTGGAGGGGTCTCAATTGGTGAAAACACATCTGAAAGGAAAATGAAAGTTACGCTCTACTAGGCCAGATATTACCTAAAAGGATACTAAATTCACCATCTAGAATGAGAAGGATTTCTAATATTATGCTGGTATAGAACTTGATTCAACGAGATCAATTGAACTTGCACATTATTCTCCAATCAGTAATTAATATTACAATGTTTAACAAGAAATATCATCAATGCATCTATCTCAACTAAGACATCACCAATAAGGATTATCATCAACATAAACTATATGATTACCAATCTGACCATCCACATTGCATGTTTAAAAATGTAGGCACAACACCTTGACTTAGAGCACAGTCCATTCTTTAAACAGCTTTGGGAAATCTTTTATAGCAACCATTATGGAATGTATTTTTTACATCGAGTTGTTGCGAAGTCTAATCTAGTTAGCAGCTAAAGATAATAAAATTTGAAAAATATTCACCTAATTACGGGAGCAAAATTTACCCCATCGTCAATACTATGAATCCTTGAGCAAAAACTTGGAGTTACATCATTCCCTACTCTTATCAGCTTTACACTTAACAGAGAAGATCCACTCACAGCCAACTGTATTTTTTTTCTTTTTTTCTTTTAACCTTTAGGTACCAATTCCCATTCACCACTTTTTGGATAGCTCTCATTTCTTCAAGTACTACCTTTGTTCGTTTCAAGTAACATTTAGAGCTCCATGTATATTTTTTGGAAATCCAATACCATAGAGATGGATAAAAATGCTCAGTAAGATCAAATAATTTGTCATATGAAACAAAATTTGAATAGGAAGAAGACTTCAGGCTTTAGTTCCTTTTCTAGAAGCAATTGTATTTCGAAGTCATACTTTAGATTCTTGGCAATTAGAAGAATGTAGCAACTGGCTTTCATAGTTTTCATGTGATTATATTTATAGGTACTCTTTTCTAGATCATATGTGGTATTAGCCATTTTTCTACTGCTTGAGGCTTCTTCCTTCTTGTTAAACGCGAAGTTACATGGGAAAAATTAGCAAGACTTGCATATGGATGGGAGATGGGGGAGGAAGCATATTACATCTACCTGAGTTTGGGTAAAACTGACTATGCTACTTGGGTTTGGTCCATTTCATGTCTAAAAAAATGCAGACTAATTTATATTACTTGACCTAGTGAAGAGAATTCGGCAAAACCATTAAGAATCAGTAAATGTGCCAGGTCCACATCACACAGGGTAAGATTGACAGTAATTTGTAAGTGCTAAGCCTTAATGTATGATTCCTTAAGGATGGGTGAATGTCTCCTAAAGTCACAGCCAATCTCAAGGGCATTGACATAAACACTTCGTGAAAGTCACAACTCAAAAGTAGCTTCTCAAAGCAAAATAATGGCAAATAAATTGGTTCGCACCTTTTTTTTTTTTTTTTTACTCGGCCATCAAGATGCACAGCATTACAGAGTATTAATTATCAATCACGTTTCGTAGACCCAGTTTCACCCTAGTAGAATGAACATGTTGTGTGGTATTCATGCCATGCCACTCAAAGTACTTATTTGAGTGTTAAAACAACTTTTCTCATAAATATCATCACCATCTCATCTTTACATGATTACAAGGAAGCATTCGTAAATGAGATACTCATTAATTAGGTAGTACCGAACTCACACCCTCAATTGCTTCACCAAGTCTATTTAGCAATTATTTCCAGAATTAATCTTTCGGTAAACACCGTTAATCAAGCAGAACTAACATATATGAATCAATTGCTTCACCATGACTGAAACTAACAATTATTTCCACGATTGCCCAAACATCAGACGCCCTTCCAAATTTAACCAGTACATCCACCCACAAAATTAATTCTTGACCCATAAGGCAAAGTTTCCAAACAACACAATTCCAATAGCATACAACAAAAATAGCAAAATTTTAGATTACTTCAAAAGTAAACAGAACCCACATCATAATTCAACAAAAGAAACACAAAGCAAGAAACTTTACCATACCTAGTGAGCAACTCAGTCATCTGCCCCATATAATACTCATTGTACTCAAGAGTCTCCCCATAAGTAGGCTCATGTCTATCCCAAGGAGAAAGATAAACTCCCAACTGCAATCCAGCACTCTTAGCAGCTTCGGTCAGCTCTTTCAACACATCACCGGTCCCATTTCTCCAAGAGCTAGACTTCACAGAATAATCAGTATACTCAGAGGGCCAAAGACAGAATCCATCGTGGTGTTTTACAGTCAATATAACTCTTGAAAATCCATTGTTTTTGGCCACATTGACCCACTGCGAGGCATTGAATGAAGTAGGGTTGAACAGAGAAGGGTCTACATGCCCTGTCCCCCACTCCGAGTCTGTGAAAGTATTGGTACCAAAGTGCAAGAACATCGCCATTTCTGTGAGTTGCCATGAGATTTGCTGTGAAGTTGGAATGGGAAGAATTGGAATTGGAGGGGGCGTAGGATGGGATGAAAGTAAGAGTGAAAGTGAGGTTTGGGATGTGAGGTAGTAGATTATGATAGTGAGAATAATAGGTTGTCTGAAGGGTTTTCCTGTTTGATGATCAGGTGCTGTTTTCTTGATCATCTTTCTTTGATGGATGAGAACTGAGAATTTTCACTTTTTGTTCTTATTTTACTTTCTTATAATTTAAAACCTTATTTCTCTCATTTGAAGCATGTGCTGTGACTTTTTTCCTTTTTTTATTTTAATTTTATCATTTTTGTTGATTAGCTTAAAAACAATTAAAAGGAAGAGACGTTGAGCCGTCGTCATCATTATCACCTAATATGATGGCAGCCTTAAGCGGGTTTCAGAGGGGTTAGGCTAAAGCACTGAACTCTTGTCCAAACAATTATTGGGCCAGACTCAATATCTGGGCCAGTAATGAGTTTTCTAAGGAAAAAAAAATCATATTCCAAGTGTATTGTTTATACCAATTCACAAATTTGATTCATAGTTTAAAAATTCAAAATTCAAGTATATATATAATTAATTGAGAATATTTATTTATTAAATATAATAAAATCACAGTTACACGATTAATGGTCACAGATTCACAATTATATGTCACAAATTTATACTAGTTACATATCATCAAATTAATTGATTATAGATTATTTTAAGGTTACAAATCAAAAAATTTATAGGTGGCAGCTTATTTCAAAATCAGAAATCAAAAATTTATATGTCACAAATTATTTCGAGTCCAAATTACTTGGTCACAAATTATTAAATTTTTACGTCACACTAAATAGCTGGTCACAGATAACTGAATGGTTGGTCACATACGCTAATTTCTTGGTCACAAACAATCAAATCATCTGTGACTACCACCAACATTGTGACCACCACCTAACCACTACACCAGCTGCATCGCTGCCAAAACCACCACCACCACCACCACCACCACCTCCAGGAGCCCCGTACCAACCACCTCCATCGCAAGCAGACACGAAAACCACTGCAAGCAGATCATTGAACAAGGAAAATGTCAGATCATCGCACCAAAAACCAGATGCTCCGATCTCCTCTTCATTACAGCTGGTGGCGACGGTGCATGAACCCACCATCACCGAGCCCACCATTACGATTGCGCGCAGCGACGATGAACAACCTACCATTTATGCAGAGTGCGCCTGAGAGTGTCTTCGTTGGCGACGCTCTCTAATGGGGCAACGATAGTTCAAGTGTGACAAAATGTCCTGTGGTGTTTTGTGATTGAGAGAAGATAATATAGAGACAGAAGGAAGAGGGTAGAGATAGAAAAGATAAGGAAAATGATTAGGATTTGGAATGATTGGGTGGAGATATTTAATATTTACTTATTATATTGATACTTGATTTATGAATAATGAAACTTTAGCCCTGATTTTGGAATTATGTTTTCTAAGCACCTAGTATTATGTAATTTCCTCATTTTCTAATTTAAAGATTAGAATTAAAAAATAAGGGACCATGTTTCATTATTCAAAAATCAAATATGAATATAATAAATATTACCCCCTCCCTAATTTTATTCTCTCTCACTCGTTCTCATTCTTCCTCGTCTTTTCCTTTCCCTCTGCTATGCTACCGCCGAAGCACCTGCCGTCAAAGACCTTACCCATTTCACTTCAATTGATGACAATGTGTTGTCACCACCATGTAAGTAGCACCACAACGATCTTTAACATGTAACGCGATGGATTTGTGTGAATCACCGCGAAGCAAATCCACCCATTTACTTCAATGACTCTTCATAGGCGAAGCATTGCAAGTAGCGCGAGAAGCAGAAGCAGCGTTGTATGGTAGATTTGGCGGTTGGGGTGGTTTTGGACGGTGGTTTGTGTGGTGGCGTTTTTGTAGTGTGGTGGGGTGCAAGCAGTGGCTATGATGATAGTGTGGTTCAGGCGACGATGGTGGTGGTTTTTTTTTTGTGTTTAGTGGTGGCGATCGTGATGGTTTTCGGCAAAAGTAGAGGTGGTTGTTAGTTGCTAGAGATATGATGGAGTTGATTGCTGTGGTTTTTATTAACTGTTGATTGAATCTGGTGGTGGGCGATTTTGTTGGTGGTGATGTCGTGGTGTTGATGTTGGTTGTGGAGGCGAAGGTGACAAGGTGAGGATGGTAGTGGTGAGGTGGATGGTTATAGATGATTTGATTGTTTGTGACGAAGAAATTGGCGTATGTGACCAACCATTGAGTTATCTGTGACAAACTATTTAGTTTGACCTAAAAATTTAATAATCTATGTCCAAGTAATTTGGACTTGAAATAATCTGTGACTTGTAAATTTTTGATTTGTGATATCGAAATAATTTGTAACCAATTAATTTGATGATATATGACCAGTAAATAAATTTGTGACCTACAATTATGAATATGTAACCGTTAATCGTGTAATTATGAATTTAATAAGTTAAGTGTATAGTTTATGCCAATTCACAAATCAGGTACGCAGTTTAAAAATTCAAAATTCAGGTATCTATATAATTAATTGAAAATATTTATTAATTAAATATAATAAAGTCACAGTTACACAATTAATGGTAATAGATTCACAATTATAGGTCATGGATTTATTTACTGGTCACATAGTTCAAATTAATTGATCACAGATTATTTCGAGGTCACAAATCATAAAATTTATAGGTCACAGTTCATTTTGAGGTCACAAATAAAAAATTTACAGGTCATGAACTACTTCAAGTCTAGATTACTTGCTAATAGATTATTAAATTTTTAGGTCATATTGAATAATTGGTCACAGATAACTAAATGGTTGGTAACATACGTCAATTTTCTTGGTCACAAACAATCACATCATCTGTGAGCACCACCTCACCACTACCACCCTTACCCCGTCACCTTCACCACCGCCACCAACATAACGACATCACCACCAATAAAATCGCCACCGCCAGATTCAATCAATAGCTAACAAAAACTACGACAATCAACTCCATCACATCTCCAGCGACCAACAATCATCTCCACCGCTGCCAGAAACCACCACGACCTCCACTACCAAACACACCAACAATTCCCAAGCCACAACCTCACCAATGTTTACACCGCTAACACGACCATCACCAGAAACCATCACAGTCACAACCACCATCAAACACCCCCAACAATACACTACCTCTCAACCTCATCGACACCACCCAAATTACTACTGCCAACACGAGCACAGCCGTTACTATAACCACCACGACCATCCTACCTAGATCCACCGCATCACCATCACCACGCCGTCACCCCACAGCGTCACCAGCACCACCTATATCCACGTTGCACAGAAGCCGTTGCAGTGGCGGCGGCTTGAGAGACCTATTGTGAGGGCCACCGTACAAAGGCGGTCACAGCGAAGCACTGCTGCACAATGACGCTTGAAGGCGGTTAATTTAGCATATTTTCGGCGGCGTCTTCTCTTTACATAGGACATCTTCTCGACGGTGATTCTTCTTCGTGGAGCACATCTTCAATCTAAAAAGTGATGGCGCAACATATCTTCTTTACAGAGGATATCTTCTAGTGTTATGATTCTTCTCTTTACAACAAATCCTTGTGCAAGAGGAGTGTCGCGTGGGCGCCGCTGCAAGGTGCCAATCGGCTTGTCGGTGTCGCCACTATTGTTGAGAGAGGAGAAAATGGGGAGAAGGTAATAGAGACAAGGATGGGGATTAGGTTTTATAGTGGGGTGGGTGGTTAAATCCATACCTAATTTTTACATAAATAAACTTCACTCTTGAAGTTTAAATTTGAAAATTTAAGTACCCGATTTTTTGTAATTTCCTCAAAAGAAAATGATACAAAGCCCTATATGGAATTGGTTAAAATCAAAGTTAAAGTCAATTAATAATTTTAATCACATATTTTATTAACTTTTATCAAAATCTACTAAAAATTTGATTTCAATTCTTGCCAAATAGAGGCTAAAAGTTAAAAAACACAAATCGACTTCCTGGCCGATTCAAATGTAAATCTTATTATTCATTTAATGATTAAGTCCTTTTACCCACTTAACTTTCAAACATTTACATAAACAATTCGATATAGAATCTTTTTAATTCATTTATAGTTTAAGTGTAGAGTATTTAGAGATTTATTTATCTTGTATAGAAAAACTATAATTAATATTAGAGACAAAAATCTATACATAAAGTTGTTTTGAAGTTAGACAGTTGAACAAACTTGAGATTTACATAGAATTTCTCAATATTTATCCAGCGTACTCGACTTTTGCATAGCAAAACTCAAGATTTGACCTAATAATTTGCTAGACATTTACAAATTCGATATTTGTTCATTAAAGACTCATTATCCACCCGTCAAACTAGAGTGTACAACATTTAGTTTGAATCTCTTTCAAGAATGCAAATAATTAGAACTTATGATTTCTTTTTGTTTCGCGCGGGTTCGTCGCTAACAATTAAAAAGGGATCAGACGATTGTGTAAGGGACAAACCTCTTGAGACAAAATTCCAAAAAGGGGTGTTCTTTATTGGCGATGTCTTTACAATCGGAAAGTAAAAACAGAATGCCTCCAAGGGGCGCAAACACACGAGTTACTGAAAGAAGTGTTTAAATCTAAACTAAGAAATTTAAAATTACATGTTCTCTGTTCGATAGTTTTTTGATTTGGGCTTTTTGCTCTATGTCTTTTCTTCCTTTTATACTCCCTGGATGATCTCTTTATGATCAACCGTCTAAAAACTGCTTGATCGTTCTATAACCGTCAACTTTCCTCGTAATGGCCAACTTGTCATGGAACTGCCTTTTTTAACTGCTGCCATTACTCTTTGTCGTTCCACCGTTTTCGATTGAATTCCCTGAATCGTGGAACGTGATAGGGCTGCTTAATAACTGTTTTGATAACTGCGCTTCTTGATAACCATAACACTTCATGTTTGCTAAGACCTTGGGTGACTCGAAGGTTTCGGCGAGAATAGAGTAGAAGCTCTGGGCGACTGCATGGCGTTCCATTTGCTCAGATCCTGGGCGACTTGCAAGCTTGGACGATGGTGTTACCGCGTTCATGGGCCTCCCTATTTGGGCCTTCATCCTGAATCGTCTGATTGAGCTTCATTCTTTGGGCTGTCTGATTTGGGGATCCTCCAATTGGGCTTTATTCATTGGGCCGTTCGATTTGGACTGAATTTTTA